AAATATATGTTTTTGACAGTCAAACACAAACAGAGCTTGAACACAAATCTGTTGGCATGATTAAAGATTGTTAAGTGCCTTTGAGACTGATCTGTCCCCTCAGTATTTTCATGTTTATCAAAATGTCAGTCCTGCATTTAGCTTGTAAGAACAACAACAACTTGCTCAGACTTGCCAGCAGGAGCCAAGAACAGCCCGAGGAACTGATCATGACAACTGCATGGAGCAGGGATTGGGTATCACAAAAGGTGACTCACAGCTAGGCTGCTTCAGGAAAAGAAACTCCCTGACTTAATGCATATGTTACTTAATCTACACACACCCAGGTTCAAGACACAACTGAACAATGAAGCAGATATCTTGTTCTTCGTGGCTCTTTTCAAGCAAAGCACCGTGGAACAACCAGAGGTGTTTCAGTATTAATAAAGGAGCAGAGTGTCTACACGTTACATATCACGCACTTTATATCATCATTGCATTTCCATAGTTTCCTGTGAATCCTTCCCAGTAAATGAGTCATTTGAAAGGGAACTTAATTAGAACGCAGGAAACATCCACTTTTGCAAATTCATTTTTTATCCTATTACAATATTTTTGCCTTAATTATCATATGATATTATTATTACTATTATCATACAATTGTGATTTCATTTCCTGACTTCAAACCTAGGATAAATGACCTTTTATATATATTTCTGACAGTCATTAAGTAAAGTTGCAATGGATAGATTTAATTATTGATAAGGAAAAAAAAGGACAACAATGTAAAGTTAATTGATTATCTATCAATATTCTTTCAACAAATATGATTGTAGGAGTTTAGTGATGCCGTCTACCAGGCTGTTTGAGAAACATCTCCTCAGAGTCTAATCAATTAGCTTTTAGCTCATTGTGCAGATTAAAAACACTCTTGTCTGTAATTAGAATGATTTTACTCTGTTGGAAGAGGCCTGAAGGAATAGTTTGACATTTTGTCAAATGCATTTATTGGCTATATTGCAGGAAGTTAATTAGGAAAACTGATATCTCACTGATGAACGGTAAATATGAAACTTCAGGCAGGTTAGTGTACAAACTGTAAACAGTGGGAAACAACTATAGTTTGATTGTTGTGTTGTTTTTGGACTGTTTGTTTCAGATTAAACAAAAGAATATATAAGATTTTAGTTTTAGAAGTGCTAGTTGGTGGATCTTATTAGGGCTACTCTTTATGTTAAGCTAAGCTAAGTGGCTGTAGCTTCATATTTACATACATACAGGAAATGGGCGATAATAATCTTCTGACCGCATATATGCTACAGATAGTGGTGCCAAATGTTAAAGCCTCTGAATAAAATACAAACCTGGATTGACCTGAGAAATGCTTTGTAGCTGATTGAGGAGATTCACTGAACCTGGACAACACCCAAACTCAAAAAAACTTTTCTTGTCACACTAGTGCCTTACGGGGACTGATGGTGTGTAATTAACACTTTCGAAGCAGTAACATTGTATTGTGAGAGCTCAGTTGAGAAACACACACACACACACACACACACAATATAGTAAATATAAAGTAATTATTACTTTATATTTACTCATTTACCTCATTTGACTGTTCAGTTAATCTTATTTGATTTCTCCTTGAATCTGAAGGAAATGTAGCAGAAATGTAATTTAGAGTTGATGGTAGTTTGTAATATTTTATGAAAAGCCCCTGACACGATGTGGATTGTGCTTCAGGGCATCAGGTATAAAGCTAAATTACTATGACAATTGGCTTATTTTCTAGCCCCTCTTCTGCCTTGCTACTGAACTCAGATCTGTGTAGTGTGTCATGCTGACAGCAATATATGTTTTTTTTTTTCTTCTTCTTCCAGTAATAATTTTGTCTAGCCTCTTAGCGCTGGCTATAGTGGCTTTAAGAGCCAACAGTGGAAATATTTACTATAAGAATATGTTCTATTTGAACACACTGAATAACAAAAACATATACAAAGTCATAAAAATGTTAAACAGTTATATTCACAAAGCCGTGATACAGTATTTATTTTTGCCTCCCTGGAAAGCTGCCACTCACAGTATTTGTGTACAATAAATACAAAATATTTATTCATAAATACTTTAATAGACCATTCAACCATTGAATGAGGCCACACTTACCCTGTTCATAAATTTGGTCTTAAAGGGGATTTGTTTAGTTGTGTGATTGTAGCTTTTCCCTGTGAGAATGTCAGTGTTGCATAATGAACCAGTTTCTCAAAAGACTTGATGAAAGCTCACCAGACGGCACAAATAAAGCTAAGACATCAGCAACATCATGAATACACATGTTTCATTTACAGCCTCCTGTAAGCGAGATTGAAGGTTGAAAGAAGAATAAATAAGAGAAATCTCACTAAATTTCCAATATTTCTTCTTCATCTAAAATTATATGGGTACATTTACATGGAAATGAGAGGTGTTGGTCTTCTCCCTACAGATGCAAGAACACCTGCGTCTCAGCCACAGTTTGGATTGGCCCACCCTGATATTTCAGTCACTTCTGAAGTAAGAAGAGTCACCAGTGATCCCTGGTTTAACTAAGTTTGAGGAAATATCAGCATGCAACACAAATGTGTCACTTCAATGTGTCTTATAAACCACGTTTGTCCCCTGATAACACAAGAAACACAAAGCCAATGAAGTACAAGCATATTGTCTTAGTCCGTGTAAATGTCACAGCACTTCACCAAACACTTTATTCAATAAAGCCTCTTTATGTCTGTCATTATCTTGATTTTCGTCAGAGTGAACTTTGTCCCTGAAGGGAGCAGGGGAGTTGCCAAGCGTCTCAAACAGGTTTATGGCTGCCTGTGAACAAGTTTCGAGCCAGACCATTTTGCATGTCAAAACTGGAATCCACACCCTCCATCTGCAGACTGTTCATCATGTTGAGACACCTCCTTGTCCTTTGTTTCCTCCAGCTGGCAGACAGTAGCTCCTCCAAATACTGACATGAGCTGACCATACATAAATCTAAGCAGGATATTCTGGGAGCAGTCAAGAGGATTTTCACAAAGTTCACAATCTAAATGTAAGTTACTGTTGTTGAGCATAAGATCATGGTGTTGTGACTACCTCGCTGTGCTTTTTAACCCTTTTAGAAGCATTAAACAAGAAGCAGTGGCTCTGTAAGAATATCAAACGCCTCAGCTTTTAAATGAATTCTCTACACAGTGTTAGGTTTGCGATAAAATGCATACATAAATGTCCTGTTTATACAAGGTTGTGATGTGTATTGTAGGTTATGATTAAATATGCTGCAATAACAGCTGCTCAATGTGTCTTTTATAGTTTTGACATATCTATTTAAATAAGGCATAGGCAGAAGGTTTGACATCCAAAACCTTGTTCAAAATGTAAATATATGATTACAAGCATAACAGCAGAGTCTGTAAAAGAGCCAAGAAATGTTTCCTGAAAACAAACCGGAGGGGACTGCTATACTCTGAGCTATTTATTTTTAGTGAAAGCTACATTTTACTGGCAGTGAATCTCACCTGAAAGTGAAATGCTCCCATACCAAGTTGTCAACCGTACAGAAAGAAAGACAAAACAAACTTGTTTCTCTGCTCTTTAGACAATCAGGTGTGTGTAAAGCTTCTATCTGTAAATCAATAGTGTCACCTGTTTATGTCTGACTATGTTTGCTTTTATCTAGTGAGGTTTGTGAGGTTTTATAATAATACCAATAATAGCTCTGCATTTCAAAGGTTGTTTTTTTTAATAAAACTATTAAATTAAATCTAAAAACCGGTTCTATTCCCATTTATCAGGTTTAAAAAAAAAGATTTGTTACCTTTGTAACAAAGGGTTAACTTGTTTGTTTGTTTATTAGAACCCCCATTTGCACCGGCATAAGCATTGTGCATTACATGCATTACAGTTTAAAGGTCCAGTGTGTAACATGTGGCAGAAATGTAATATAATGGTCATAGGTATGTTTTCATTAGTGCGCAATCACCTGAATATTAGAATTATCATGTTTTTGCTAGCTTAGAATGAGCCTTATATAGCTATAGACTCAGCAGGTCACCTTCCATGGAGTCTGTCATGTTGAACTGCCATGTTTATAAAATAGCCCAGAATGGACTTGCTTAGAAGAGTTTATAAAAGTCAACTTTGTATGTCACAGAGTCCTAATTATTGTCTTTTAAGCGTATTTGTGTATGCATTTTATGTTTTTTTAATCTGACTTTATTTCACAGTCCTGTAATTTTTGAAAAAGCTGAGCTCAAACATAAACTGTTTACTTCTCCACAATCATACTCCACCTTAACTTTCAGGCACACTACAGGTGCATCATTTACCCTTTGGGCACGCAGTGCTAGTCATCCTTTAAATCCTGATGTGAACAGGTTCAACATCAGATAATGATGAGTCAGTTTTCATGATATGGCTTGTTGGAAGTAGTATTATGCAGTATTTTATATGCAAATAGATTTACATATAAGACAATGCATATTACTGTTAAAGATGGAAATTATGAGTACGCATTACTGTGTTTTTTCACCTCATACTGAAAAACAGAAACCTCTTTAACACGTGGTGCATACAATCCCAATGTAAACAAACACTGGAACCTTTACAAAAAGGTACATAAAGTCCTGTTCAGCTCGTACAAAACAGGGCTAACAACAAATCAACAAACTGCTAACTGACAAGTAGTTACCAAATAACTTTAAATCAAGTGGTTTATTTCGATTCTGTGCCATTTATCAGTCGATTCAGAGTTAATCACTATACATTAAGAATAACTGTCAATATATTCTCATAAATCTAAACATGAGACACTAAAGTATTCATCAGTCGGTTCTCAAGAAACGTATCATTATAAATCAAATCAGATCAAATCTAAAGCTTGACACGGCCCGCTTAGTCTTGAATGGAAGTGACCTGTATCTATACTGGTTGTATAGTGTGTGTATGCGTGGAGTCTGAGGCTATCTGTAGTCTATCATTTTAGCTCTTCCACAGAAGACGCTGCTTAGTGGTTCCAGTTCCAGACCTTTGATTTTGCTGCTCAGTCTGATGATCTTGTTAACAGGGTTGAGTTACTCAAAGCACCAAACCAGGCTGTTATGTTGAAGGTGATGGTGGATTCAATAAAGCACCTGTAAAAAGCTAATAAGATTGATTTGTGGACCTGAGAAAGAAGAGACATTGCTGACAATGATTCCAGGACAGGTCTGTCTGGGTCTGTGATTCAGTGTGACTCAAGAACTGTTGGTTGGCTATTTATTAATCAGCACATAGTTCCTGTTTTGTTTCTCAGGAACATTTGACCTCATTATAAAGTGTCACAAAGTGTAACACAACTTTAGCTGATACATACCATGAAAACGTAACCCTAAAAGTTATACTTACTTGTATTATTGCAACCTTTGGTGTCGTAACAGCTTCTTGACATTTGCATATTGCACGCTATGATAATCAGTAAACAATATGACCTTTCAATGTACTACATTAGACTGTGCCTCTTTAGACTTCACAAAAGCCAGTCTTACAGCATTTTTCATCCTGTTATAAGGTTCTCTGATTCTTTTACATTGGCATTGATCTCCATTATCTCTTAATCTCTCATTAATTTGAAATTCAGTTTTTGAAAAGAAAAATTGAAAGTATTTTTTAAACATAAATACAATCATTTAAACAATCTACCCATTCTGTGCATACTGTATATACTGTATATACTGTCATATCCACCTACATAATGTACATAAAGAAACACTTGCACTACTGTCTACAAATGTTGATCTGCTTTTGTTGATTACAGATGTGGTTCTGATTCTATGACAGGTACAAGTGAAACACTCTGGAGCGATGGAGTCTCCAGAGTTTTCTCTGTTGTCGTCCTTGAGGGGAGAGTTTAAATCAGAGGATTACATCCAACCCCACTATAAGGAAACCTATCGCCTGGCGATTGATCACCTGGTGAAGAGCGGCAGAGAGAGTTACTCGGAGTTCCTAAAGGGAGAGCGTGTTGGGAGCTTCCTCTCAGAGGAAGAGCTTCTCTTCATCACTGAAAATGCAGAACAGCTCAAACCTCATAACCATGCAGAGGAAAACAGTGGTCCATCAGACAACCAATCATCCTCAGGGACGTACTGGCCCATCCACTCGGATGTGGACGCACCAGACTTAGACATAGGATGGCCAGAGGCAATGCATGACAACCTGCAGACAAATATAGATCTGCTGTTTCATCCAGCAAGACAAAACCACCCCACCATCAAAGAAGTGGTCCGGAAGAATATTCAGGAGGCAAGACAGGTAATCAAACCTGCTAAAGCTTTGTCTCAGAGCAGCAAATTGGCTCGGACATTCTGTTTCTCCAATGTGTTTAATTTGTTAAGCATGTCACAATCACCTTTCCCCCTTAAGGCAGTTCCACAGATCTTTGTTGCTCTCAATTTTCAATGGTAAGGAGTGCCTGATGGGTTTGCTGAGGTCAAAATCTGGTTTTGCAACTTATCATGAAAAGAAGACAGTGTGGGAACTACATAAAATTACTAGCACTCCATTATAGAGTCATATCCTTTGCACAACGCCTCAGTTAGTTCTCAGATTGCGTCATGATGAATCATGAACTAATTGTGTAGCTCAAAATTGTGTTTAGTAGACAATTAGTATTCTGCTGCCTTGTTACAACTTGTTTCTGCTGCACCGGCTCTTAATTAAACCACCTTAAAGAGGAAATCTCTTTTGTTTCTCTCTCTCTCTCTCATAATAATTACAAACAGCGCAGTGTAAAGTAAATTAAATTAAACTAAACATAGAGACAAATGTCAAGGGACACAACAGCTGCAATGTCTCATCTCTGTCAACACAATTTTTGGATGGTTGAATAATCCTGTACACATACGTTTGTTGGATGTTTCTTACATAATTAAAACACTTCTCATGGTTTATTTCAAGGACAGACATATTTTCACAGACACCTCATAATAAATCATTATCCCCTCCTTCCCTTCTCTGTATCGATCACTCACTGCAAACCTTTCTTTTTTTGTTACTAACTTCACTCTGACGTTTCTACCCATCAGACTCACATTTAATATTCAAGTTCATAAATCATATATCTGTGAGTGTGTTCTTAAATAGGTCATTCACAGGTTTTAGTGAGTAAACGGTTTAATTGGACTATACCCAACTTTGGCACGTTGAACTCATCATGATTCATTTACTTTGTCCTTGCAGGTCATTGCCATTGTAATGGACAAGTTCACTGATGTAGATATATTCAAAGAAGCTGTCGATGCCTCTATAAGAGGAGTCCCAGTCTACGTGCTTTTAGATGATTTCCATCTGAAGAGTTTCCTCACAATGGCTGAAAATCAAGATGTAAAAATTCAGCAACTCAGAGTAAGTATATGATTTGAAGCATCCATTTGCTTTTGTCAATTTCTTACTATTTTTATTCTAAATAACATTACAGTTACAATTCTTGTTTTTCTGATTGTTATTGCTTTTAATGAAGCACTTAGCATTATATGAACCTAAAGTTTGCAAGTATTTTCAGGGTTAAACAACGGTAATTAAAAACTTGCCATTCACTTTCTTGCCTAAGGCAAGTTGCCAATCAATGATCAAAGATATTGTTCCATCACCATGGTTACCGTACGCAGTAGCTTTCTGCTGGCATGAGTCACTTTCCTTCGTAGCACATCACAGTAAGCTAGATCGATTTTGAAATATCACATCAATAAATTAGATCTCTACTCAATTAATGTGTTGCAAAATGGCTGCAATTAATACAAAAATAATGTGTGCCAGAAAAACTGCTAATTTTGTGACATTTTATGATTTATTTTCAGAGGTGCTGGTAGGCAGGTTTGTGTTACCTTTAGACAGAGCCAGGTTAGTTGTTTCCCCATCTCCAGCTCATACACCAAGCTTCCTTTAATGATTTATTCTAATTCTCTGCAGGAAAACAAATAAGCAAATTTCTCAAAATGTCTATTGCTTTACTGTAAAGAGAGGAGAGACTGTTGAGGGGTGTAAATTGGCAACTTTTGTACAATTGTATCTTTGCCTATGACCCTAAATTTACATGCATTAAAGGTGCAAATGAGTTTACATCTTTTTAGTATACTTATTTACAGCTTCACTGTTCAAAAAGTCTTACATAATCAAAACCTGGTTCCTCCTGTTTTGGGTGGAGTCATAAATATTAATCTGGGAAAGAGACGCTAACACACCCTTTCATGTTGCATGCCAGCAACAACTCATGGAATACAAACTATTTTAAAGGTTAAGACTGATGTTTTCCTCCACAGCATGTTCATCTGCTGTAAAATTTTAAAGTGATAAATCTTTTCTGACATTTCCCTTTCATTGCTCTGACCACAGAACATGAGGGTGCGCACTGTGAAAGGTCAGGGTTACCTCTGCCGATCAGGAGCTAAATTTCATGGGGCAATGGAGCAGAAGTTCCTTTTAGTCGACTGCCACACAGCGATTTATGGCTCATACAGGTAAATTAAACTGTAGTACAAGAGGAGCTGTGGTTGAGATCACTAAGGTGTAAACTAAATGCATTCATAAAGCAAAGCACTACATTTACTGTCACTCTCTACAAGATTGCTGTCATCATTTCTTATTGATGCCTTTTGAAGCAGTTTGTGACTAAACTTTGTTTATGAATGTGAAATGTGTTTCCAGAAAATGTGGCAACAGTTAAAGACACAAAAATGATTTCAGTACAAATATACACAGCTCTTTACAAAGAGTCTCACTCAGACCTGGAGTGAAATATTTTAAAATAATTATTATGTTTTTTTATTTGTATCTATGCAGTGTGTAATGTAATTTCACCCAAAACATTTGTGAAATATTCACGTTTTGGTGTTTGTTTTCAGCTTCACTTGGTCATTTGAGAAGATTAATCTGAGCATGGTGCAGGTCATCAAAGGACATCTGGTGAAGTCCTACGATGAGGAGTTTCGAACACTCTACGCCCGGTCGAGTGTGCCAGCTGAACTGTGCCCTCCGGAGGGTTTGTTCCAATGCAACGGGCCACACGGACGACAGCTTTTGTCAAATTCTCATTCTGCCCCAAAAATTGAGCGGAGGGACCAGTTGAGGCATACGCTGGACACAGTCTATAGGAAGACCTGCGAGAGGAAACTTGGCATGAGAAACCTTGAAGAGAGGCTCTTTGAAGAGGAACCTAATGAGCTTGGGCCCATGATTGAGAATGGCATGGGTGTTCCGAACCAGATGACTCACCTTCAGTCTACAGAGGCGATGAACTTCTTGAAAAGACACAGCTACGCTGGGGAGAGACAAGAGGGACATGTGCCACAAAACATCAGGCCCAGAGCGAGTAACTGGAATATCTCCAGAGAAACAGGAAATCAAACAAACAACTACCCCATGGACAATTATTTACAAGTGCCACAGATGCACCGAGGTCAAAACATGCGTCAGTCTTACAATGGAAACGACAAGCAGGTTCAGTCCATGCAGCAGAACATGCCAACACTGGAGAATACATCCAAATCGTTCATGCGCACATTGAGGATTGAGTCTTACCTCAAAAACCCTGACGTCCCCTATGGAGACTCTTATGACTATTTAGACCAGTTTGAATCACTGGACAAAGCTAACTCCTACATGCAGGGAAGAATGAGGTCTTCCCTTGTTTTCAGGTCCACCATACCAGAGCAAATGGAGCCAAACAGACACATGAACAACTCTTCTACTGGTGTTAGCTCCTTAGCAGCAGCAAACACTCCTTTGCACTACTCATCCATGCAGTGGAATCCAACAGCAGCAGCTGATGACAATTGGAATAACAAAAGCTATGATCAAGGTAGAAACTCTTACCAGTCTGCATACACTAGCCTAGGCAGAGCTAAAGGTGGACACATGATCACAAACCCTGACATCTTGGCAGATAGCTGGCACAAAAGGCACAGCGTGGCAGATCCAAGATCAAACACTGAGTACGCACATGAATCCTCTGGTCACATGTATGGAGCTTTTGCAAGAATGCAAGTTAACAGAAGCACAGCAGGGATTACCGCACAGAATGGAGCGTATGGGTCAAATCTGAATGCAGATCAGAGGTCTGTCTCTCATTATGATGTCAAAAGTATAACAGGCACAAAGAGCTCCAGTACACCCAACTGGCAGGAGCCACCATCCAGGACTTTGTCTGCAGCAGCTCTCGATGTTAATGGCAAGGATTTGACAACGAAATCCAACAGCACAGGCTCTCAGCATTTTTTAAAGAAGAGTCAAAAGAAAATAAAATCTTTTTTGAACATACCAGAAAAAAAGGAGGATTCAGTTGGAACCGCGGACACACAGAGCCTCAAGTCAAGTTGCAGTACAGACACCATAACAGCTGAGGATGAGGAGAAGGTATCAGATGGACGAGGAACATTTCACCAAAGAACAACCAACCCTGTCAGGTCCTCCTCAGAGCAACAGAAGAACCGGCTAGAGGATGACTATCTAAAATCTTCAAAACCACGATTCAGAACTGAGGAGCACCACAATCCACTGCAAATCTCTCTCCCGAAAACTACCACACAGAAAAAACCAGCAGATTGTGAGAAAAGTGCGAGGCCCAGCCTTGACACGGGAAGCTGGCGCAAAGATCAAAGTGCCGAGAACCGCCTTTACAGCAGATTTGAGCCTTTCTGCGCGCTTGAAAAGAAACACTCTGCACACAGCTTTGGAACCACACGCTCTCAGGAGAAAACTAAAAGCCTTCCTAAAGGCGAGGCGGCTATTGAAAACAACCTCACCCGGTCTGCACGAGGGCACCATGAAAATAAGCTGGAGAAATTCATTCAAAGAGTAGGAAATCTCATACACAAGAACAAGTAGAGACATCTGCGTTAGCATAAGACATAGGCTGCACACTACTAACACACATTTGACTGGGAATGTTTATTTTTGTATAGCTGGTGTTTGTTTATGTGTCTACTTTGGAAAATGTTAGAGCAAACATTGTTTACATTTGACTTATGCTTATTTTACTGTGTACAGAAGCAGTGATGAACATCACTGAAAGGACAATATATTTTACATGAATACATGCAGCAGATTTCTTGCAATACCACCTTCAAGATGTCTTTTTGTGCTCCACTGGCGTCAACCCGAAGCAATAAATTCAAACGCTGTCAACAAATGTTGCGGATACATTAAGTAGCAGTTGTGTCAAAATGTCAGCGATGCATGCAATTTGTTGCTAAAAGTGTAGGTGTGTGCACATGCCAAAGTACTGTTGTTATATTATTCTGCTTGAATGTTGTCGGTAAGTCAACGTGAAAGGCATGGCAAAAGCCATTGGCATGCAAGCTAAACACCATTTCACATGATGAAACACATTCCAATATGTCACCACATCATTGTCATGTATGTATCAGACAGAGGTTTTATGAATGCTATGGGGGTTGCAATAATTTTAGAATACATGATGTGTTCATAATAAATATTTTGCACCATTTTTCACTCTCTATGAGCATGTCTTTGATTAAATCTTAAAAAAAAAACTGTGTGACTGCCTTTAAAAACATACAGTAGTGTCCTCTGCGATAGACGTCATCCATCCAAGGGTTTCTTTCATTCTATGAACAGTATGCCTTAATTAAGGCAAAATTCAATGTGCACTATAAGATTCATGAAAAATACAGTACATGTTCCTTTAATCAATATGAAAGACTTGTGGGTAAGCAGAGAGCAACGTTGCCTCCAGTGTTAAACATATGCACACAAACTGGAAGGATTAATCATCTCTTTGAATTATATCTTGTAAATATTTGTTTTTTTAAGTCTATATTAGAATCGAGTATTCAGCTGTATTTAAATTGTATGTGGATGTTTTCTAACTCAGAAGATCTTCTTTCACTGTACTTTCTCTTGATGCTGATAGAAAGGTGATGAAAATTATGGATGAGGATTGGTATGTTTCTTTCTGTCAGCCATCTACTGATGAACCTTATAAATGACGTGTTTTCTAGTGGAGTTCAGCCCAAATGATTCATCAAAGTGACTAAAAGAAAATTTGGCAGAAAAACTCTCTTTCACTTGGTGATTGCGCGAGGAAAAAGACACTGGAGTCTGAGCTCCCATACGCTTTTATTAGCAATGCTTTGATAAAAAATGAGTGAGAGGAGGAATCATAAGCAATTTCAATGAAAAGTACAAGTATATATGCAAGCATAAACTGTCAAAAACAAACAAACAAAAACAAACCTGTGTAGCTGTGGGCAGCATTTAATGGCCCTGCTCACCTTATGTAACTGAGCTGAGATGGAAAAATATGGCAAAAGACTAAAAGGGAGATAGTATTTGATAAGATTTATTCATTTTTAGAATATAAGTTTCGATTTTTAGATACCATACATGAATCTGGAAATGTTTGCTTGCTGTGTGGGTTCTGGGCTTTATATGAAATAGAGCATTACGATTTACTGAAACTGAAAACATAAGATTTTAAGCTTACTTTGAGGCTCAATACACAAAATAATTGAATGTTCAAAACTTACCATCTGTGAGGCCGTATTTGGTAACAGTAGACATGAACCTTGTATAAATGGCTGTGAAAATTACAGTGATTAAAGTCTACGAGTTTCCTTGTAATTAGTTCCATTCATAGGTAGATATGTGGTTAAAAACAGCTGTTCAACATCCATTAAATCAAGTCACATAATTAATGAGTGAAAGGAACAAATATTGAAATTGAACTAATGTGAAATTGAGCATGGAATAAAGATATATAAATTAACAATTTAGGATCAACATAAATACTTGTACTTTTGTCATCCAATTTATATTAATACCCTATTAATATGGAGAAGAGGGTCATGGCCCAGGCAAGCAATATTCTGCAGTACTTCCCCTACAGTTTGCCAGTCTGGTGTCTCTCATTGTTGTCGTAAGGCGTTTTATTGGATATTGAAGCTGAAAAAGTAAAAAATCTCTAGACCAATTTTTCTTATTTCTCAAGATAAATGGCCAAACTGGCCATCCATTAGAATGAAAAATATAGGGCAACTTTTTAGATTCAATACTTTGTCAACAGTTCTCAAGGCTTGTTATGTTTGACGCTTATGTGCAAAAACAAAGGAATTTATCTGGGTCTACTTTACACAATCGAAAAAAAAAATATATCAGTGTAACTACTTGCACTCTGGTAAATGTCTGATAAAAATATAAAGGGAAATGAAGAATGTAATTTACAGCAGAGCACATTCTGTTTCCTCAAGTTTGTCTATTATTTCTGAAGGACTCTTCCTTCCCCCTATTCTCACAACCAGCTGCACATGCTCATGATTTATATTTTTGTACAGAAGATACAGTCTCTACAGTATGTACTATATCTGATTTGTGTACGCATGTATCTTTATATAAAGTGTCATTCAAGCTCATCCTATCCTGTCTGTCCCATCCTATTCTGTTATGCTTTGCTGGAGATATAACTTTAATCTATTTCCTCCTTTCAAGCTGACTTCCCTGCTAAATACACCGAAAAATATAAATCTGAATCTATTTTGAGATAATAAAAATCTATCTGCTTTTAGTAACAGTGGCTGACCATACTGTAACCTAAACTAAGCCCTCAACCACAAATAGCAGCACTATGAGAAACACATTAGGTGATGAAACACTTTTAAACACTTTTCAACCTTCACATTATAACACATTTATTGTGAAGTACTGGCAGGTATTGTTGAATTATGTATTAGCATCATCTTACCACAGTAAATGAAAAGATTCCCTCGCTGTGACAGCTGATGGCGGTAAATAGTGATAAATAAGACAACATTATGCACAGGAGATTGCTGTGGTGCTGAATTGCAGGAGGCTTCTGCAACTGTGTGACTGTAGCTGAAGCTGTTAGCTTATCCCATCCCAAAATATTCAAATATATCCTATCCTACTAAATCCTATCCTGTCCTCACCTCTCCGTCTAAGAGCAAGAAGAGATTTGTTGGAAAAATATTCACCTACAATAGCCTCAATGTTATGTGATGCAAGGCGTCCTCCTCTGCTTGGTTAGCTACAGACATTCTCGCTTTGATGGCAATCTTTACCTCAGTGCAAAATGTGACAGGGAACTTTTTTGGATACACCTAAAGCACATCTTCCACCTTCCTGATACTGAGCATAACAATGCTTCTGGCATTCTAGTGAGCTTCATTGAAATGCAGCTCACCTTCAGCAGTTGAATTCACCACCGGGGTGAATAGATGTGACCTGATTGCATTGCTGTTGTGCCCACGTAAGAGATGGGAAAGAAGGACTTTCACAGTCCCTCAGCAGGCTCATTGTCCTTTTACTACTAAAAGTTTTGGAGAATTTAGCAGTGGAAATGATATTTGAAGGAATAATAAATGGGTGTGCCTCCTTTTATATCTGCTAAAAACATACAAAGTTGAATTGTATCCTGTAAATCCATTCAGAAATTAAATATTATGAAAAATAATTTTTGTAATAATAAATACTGAGCTGTCTACCCTCATACCACATTTCCTTTACTCTCTAAAACTCTAAGACATTTTGAGTTTTATTCAAAGACTTTTTTGCCTTTCCTCCCACAGAGTTGATCCAATCTCTACGGCATTTAGCACACAGCACATTTGGTTTGTTTTTTGTCTTAAATTACAGTTACAGCCCCATAGAGCTGTTGAGAGAATTCACAAAATGTTGCACTGCGGCACATAAAAGACGCTGATAAAATAACCACAGATGTGACATAATCATTTTCTTCAAACAGTCAAACTGACATATTTGAAGTCCAAAGTGTGTCACACCACATGGGGCCATGCTCCATAGCTCCACCTCCTGGTTAAAAACTAATCAGTTCTTTCTGTCTCCACCAGCTTCTTATTGTAACTGCTTGAATCATTACTGTTCAGAAAACGTTGAAATATAACCAAATATTAAAGACACAGTAAAGTTGGATTACAATAGGTTGTGCTGTATGATATTGTTGTAAAGACACAGAGACAATTTTACTGTGTGAGCTTCTGCAAGAGAGCATGAACCAATGACTAACAGCTGATTGCGAATATATAATTATCGTCTGGACCTGGATGTCTCTAAGTTTTAAAAAAGGCATTATTATTATCATTATGCAAGGACCAATCCTACAGATTTGTGGGACAGATGTGCACATATGAGTGGTCTTCATACAGTATCTGACTGCAGGGTTACTGTATCAGCACTGATTGATGTGAGATATTGTTATTAATGATAAGGGTAAACCAGCTGATGTGAAACTGAAATGAGCAACTGTCACACTCAGTGTAAAGGAACAAAAGCCCTGCAGGCACACTGCACTGTGATGACCCATGAAGCAGATAATGCTGAAAAATCAATGATGAATAATTAACACAGAGCTAAGAGTTGTACCAGACAGGTTTTTATCACAGGTAAATACTAAAAGACAATAAAGGGAATTTACATCCATCCAGAAACATCTTAAACTGTATTATCTCCTCTCTGTAAGCTCCTATGTGGAAAGCATTGCCTCTTCATTAATAGAAGCAACATGTCTGTACATGTAGGTGTACTTAGGGAGGAGAAACTCAACCTGAAAGTCATACGAAAGAAAAAGAAAGCAAAAAGGATTCAATCAGATCAGTTTTTTACATCATGAGATCTGCAGCGTGATTTCATCTCCAGGTTTCTGGGTGCGGCTGCTTCACTTATCTCAACAATGAGATCGTTTCAGAGGTGTATTGTTTCAAATGAAAGTAACCAAGTATTGTGGGTCGATCATAATTGATATCTATATATATATTGTTCACTTTACTCTTTAGACTTCAATAAATATGAAGCAATATTAGTTGAAATCAAAAGGATGCTAAATGTTGTGAAATCAGTGGTTATATGATTTATTTTCCATTCAGTGGAAAGCTTTGGTGGATTATTTTATTTTTCATAATGAGTGTTTCATGTATTCGCTTCATGTTGAGCTGATTTAGGATTTAGAGCCTAAAGGAATTATTCTTGAAATAAATTGCTGCTTATTTGTGATTTTCTTTTAATGCATGGACACTTGACTTTTAACTCAGTTCTGAGGCATCTTTGTTATCTCATTCCAGCGGTGGTACTTTAGCGGGGCGCATTGATCATTAGCAAACACAGAGAAAAAGTCAAAGCAGTATGGATCGTTGGTGTTCTAAGTTCCATGGCTGTTTGTGAGGAGCTTCAATCACAGATATTCATTATATGGTGCACAAAAGCCCCAGAAAGCACAGCAGGAAATTAATTAGCTGGGCTTTCAGTAAGGTTAAAATAATTCAACAGGACATAAACTTGGAAAATGGGACTGTGTCCTGATAAGAGGTGACATATTTCAATTATTTAAACAGTACGCCCGGAGTATTTGTTTATATTCATATCAAGTGCTAAATTAAAAATGGTGTGATTTTACAATTTCCATGAAAGAGGTTTAACCTGGAGTGCTCATGAGTTACAACCTTTTATAGCTGTGTGCAAACACAGCAGCGCTGACAAGCGATGTTTTTCTTTG